GGTTGTCTGATGAGAGCAAGACCCGGCTCATTTGAAAGCTGTGGTTTTCGTGTTTCATTTTTGTGTGGTAGGTCTACTAACCGTGCGGTAGATTTCGTATAAAGCCTCTGGGCAGTAGTGCTTGTTTCCAGCTGTCCAAGAATATTTTTTAACACTGCTCGAGAGAAAAAAGTACTGTCGGCACAAAAAGCAAAAAATTGCTCCTATTAACTATGTGCCACCGTGATAGTAGTGTTGCTTCTCCGTGGCCCAGGGCGGTATCGAACACCGCGCNTTTCATTTTTGTGTGGTAGGTCTACTAACCGTGCGGTAGATTTCGTATAAAGCCTCTGGGCAGTAGTGCTTGTTTCCAGCTGTCCAAGAATATTTTTTAACACTGCTCGAGAGAAAAAAGTACTGTCGGCACAAAAAGCAAAAAATTGCTCCTATTAACTATGTGCCACCGTGATAGTAGTGTTGCTTCTCCGTGGCCCAGGGCGGTATCGAACACCGCGCCGCACTCACAGAACACTGCAGCAGCAGAAAGGCCAGCTCCGCTGGCAACTTTTCATCCAACTGCGCGTGTTGGTCCACCTCTGCAGCGAAACTTATTTTTCCCCTTGTGTGCATCATCAGTAGTTAATAGGTGTGGCCCTTTTGAGCCTAACTTACCGCCGTAGACACGGTATAGGTTTATTGCTCGAAGGTTGGAGAGGTTTGAGTTGGAACGCGCTTACGGCGGTAGACTTGGAGTGANATCCAACTGCTGTGCGTGTTGGTCCACCTCTGCAGCGAAACTTTGACATATTTCCCCTATTGCTTGAAGGTTGGAGAGGTTTGAGTTGGAACGAGCTTACGGCGGTAGACTTGAAGTGGAGGACTGGCACGTGTAAGGCGGGAAATGGGACAATCGCAGCCGTCTGCTTCACGCTGGGACCGCTACTGGTGTGCCATTCCAGACAAAATGGGACCCATTGGTTTGTTTCGTCATCATCAGCGGTTCGATTTGTCCATTCATCGTGTTCTTTCATCCTCGATGCACGCACATTTCGACATCCCTTTTCCGAACAACGTGGCGACACCGCCTTCCTGCTGTAGGGCGTTCGCATCAAAACGACACAAAAATGAAACCACTCCTCTCCGTCCTGCTGTGCTCCGAACGGAAGCACATGGTATCTATGGCGTTTGGGCGCCTCAAGCTCGACAATTGTCGGGTGGGTCTCGACGACTCCGAAAATAAATAAAGCGTGATTAGTTCGATGTCTTTATAGAGGACATCGCAATGACACAGCACGAAAATGCCTACATGTTCTTCAACCCACACACGCCTCTCCTATTCGCAAAAAAAAACGTTGAAAGGAAAGTTGACCTTCTCAACACCAGTTGGTCGCACGGAATCTCTATTGCATCAGTGTCACCCAAGGGCGGCCTGATGCATGAAAACACGTTCGGGTGACCGATCTCCACACGTCCCGCACAACAAGCGAAAATGGCATCCGCCTTCCTGCTTATCACGAAACAAACCACCTAACAATTCCACACAGACAGTGGCGGTAAAACGAACTGCGGTACTGTACCATTGTACCCAAAAAGAAGAGGCAACACCACAAACAACCAGAACACGTCACGACAATGCAATAATAATACACCTACAATACTGCTATAGGTACGCAAATTCCATGACTCGCCCCTGTCTACGCTTCTACAGCACGGGGCATGCACACGACGTGTTACACATGTCAACGTACACGACACGACCACACCAACGATCACAAGGGCGATTTAAATCTACAATAGATGGCAGTCGACAGAAAAAATCGGCATGACAAAGACCAACGACCACAACGGGCGATGAAATCTAGGTAGCGCTCGCGAGAAAAAATCAATCGCGAACGACGACAATCGCATAAATGAAACCAAAGGGACCCCAGCCCCCTGTAGTCTGGATTAGGAGGACGAACAACAATATCACGAAAAGGTGAGAACACCAATAATACGGCCAAATCTCACAATGATGACGCTGCTGCCGGCACAATCCGACATACGACGAAGTTGAGTTGTAACCCCCGCCCCCCGACAGATGGATTCCTCGCCCCCACTGAGAGCTAGCAAAACCAACACCTCTACACTATACAGCAGCCTTTTCGGCTGTCAACCAATACTACACGCACGCGGGGTACGGCCATGTCACTCAGCAGACGGGCTCGTAGCCGGAGTCCGACTCCCCGTCAAAGCAGGCGTCGTTGTCCACCTTGAGCTCGAACTCCCCGTCGTCGAGCCCGGTGTTGCCCTGCATGAGGTTCCCGGTGGCATTGTCGAACCGCACCACCAGACCATCCGCATCGCCAACCTCGAAGACGTTGTCGAGGAACTGGGTGCCGTCGGCCTCCTTGATCTTGATCGTCTCCGCAGCGCCGGCGAAGGAGTTCTGTGAGAAGACGTTGTTCTGGGACCGCCCAGAAGATACAACGTCCGGCTCGTCCGACCCCAGGTACGAGTAGGCGTTGTACCTGAAAGAGGCGGAGAGAGGGGGGGGGAGGGAGTACATCGTTTTTCGGAACAAAATAGAGGGAGGGGGCACCATGGGGGGTGGGTACCCCGGCAAACGAGCACCATTGCTGCGCCATTTTCACGTGGTTCAATGCCGATGTACCTGGTGGAAAACGGCAAAGTGGATGTCGCAGGAATAGATGAAAAACGAACCCGGCTGTGCCAACTCTCTGCTCTGCCTCATATGCCCCACCTCTACAGGCTAGTGGAATCTATTCCATTTGGAGCACGCTGTCTTGAGGGCTTCCGTCTGTTGTTGAAGAAAAACCACTATTACTACACGTACTGCTGTCCTATTCCCGCCTTGGGGCTCTCTCTGCCTTCGTCAACTTACTCGGCGTTGTTGCTGATGGTGTTGTTGGAGAAGACGTTGTCGGCACAGCCCACGCTGAACCGCACGCCGTACTTGTTGTTCTCGAACGTGTTATCGGACACGTCGGTGTTGAACGACTCGAGCATCGCCAAACCGGCGTCACCGTTGTCGTGCACGTAGTTCCCTGAGAGAAAAAAATAGACAAAGAAGACGGTGGTCAGAATTTCGTGTACGGTTGCGAGGGGGGCTGGCCAGCCACTAGTTATCACAAACTCATCGAAAGGACAGTAGTATTAATAGTGCGCGCGGGAGAAACGGCCAACGGCAGGAAGCACCCCAGCACACGCCAGCACCGCCAAGAATAAAAGCAACATGACTCACCCTTGACGATGGCGTCGTCACTGCTGCGGTGCAGGNGAGGCTGGCCAGCCACTAGTTATCACAAACTCATCGAAAGGACAGTAGTATTAATAGTGCGCGCGGGAGAAACGGCCAACGGCAAGAAGCACCCCAGCACACCCCAGCACACCCCAGCACCGCCAAGAATAAACGCAACATGACTCACCCTTGACGATGGCGTCGTCACTGCTGCGGTGCAGGAAGATGCCCGCAGAAGTCTCGGCACCGCCGTACACTTCGTTGCCCTGGATAGACACGCCGTTGCAGCGCTTGGAGGCGATGATACCTGGATTGCCGAAGTCATCAAAGAAGGGGGAAATGTCGCGAGAGGGGAAGGAAGGTGTAAGGAGGCAAGGATCTCGAACTGTTCATTTCCCGGTGGCATCAAGGGATCGATGGGAGCGACAACAGAGCAGAAAAATATGGCATCTCATATGACACTCGACAGCCCACCATGTCCATTCGCGGTGTGTTCCGGCAAAAACATAGGAAGCACACAAATTTACAAGCCCAGCATAATAGAGGTGGGTATGCAAGAGGTTTGTTCGTCTTGATCGTACAGCAGCCTCACCGTGGTAGCCGTTGTTGTACACCTCGTTGTCGTGGATGGTGAGGAAGTCGCTGTCGTCGTGAGGGTCGAAGCCTGGCCGGCAGCAACGCAGCAGAAGCAGGGGAGGGGACAGGTAAGAAGCAAATGAGAGACGACGGCGAGGGTGTAAGGGGGTACAGTACCGCAAGCAAAATCTGGAACACGTTTTTGTCACGAGAGATCCGGCCAGCTTTCGGGCGACAAACTACTCGGAACCTTAGCACCAGCAGAGCTACGAGCGGACCGAAATACTGAACGAAGCACCGCCACTACTTGTACGAGGGAAGAAACAACCTTGTTCGACTCAACCAAGAATACCGTAGCTTACCGTATCCGGAGTTGTCGTGCATCTTGTTCCTCCTCCAGTCTCCCTGCTGGTGGCCTGTCGGATGGCGTGACGGACATGGAGAAGGGCGTGGGTCGGTGGGGGGTCACAAGACTACATTAGACTAGACCCGAAAGACAAAAGAAGTCACGACTACGGCAGTTGTTGCGGAATATTGACGCACGACAAACCCACTGCACAGAAACCCCCACGGACACGCTGTCGGCAGCAGCCAACCCCCACGCACTCGAGCACTAAATCGACGCCCCGAACCTTACCGTAAGTGTAGAGGCCGAAGTTCATGTGGTGGATGTCGCTGTCGTACACGTTGCCGTACACGTTCACGTCGTCGAACACCTCCGGGTTAGACTTGTCCTCGCAGAACCCGCGGACCTGGGCGTTTCAGTCGCATTTCAACAACCAAAAACTTAGGTTACAGTGTTCCGCCAAAGGCAGCCACTCGATTCTACTGGTACGCGCCGCGAACAACGCAACGACGTGTTTGTTCACACGGCTGCGTTGAAATCTCTTCACGCCCGTGGCCAGCTCCCAAACACGTTTCCTCACGTACGTACCTACCAACGTACGTCGTTCGCCGCCATAGGACACGACAATCAAAACCAACCGCCACCATGTAGGATCAAAAACGACCCAAACCCAATCATTATGCACCTTCCAAGTGAGGCCGTAGCTCTCGCTGTCCCAGTACCCGAGGTAGCCGATCTCGCTGCTCTCGATGTCCATGCGGGCCTCCCCCATGGTGTTCTTGGCATTTCCCTCGCAAGTCTCGTCCTCGTCAGTGATAATCTCCGAGATGGCGCTGATGTACGACCGACCGTCGGTTTCGTCTTCGTCCGGCGAGTTGGTGCTCGTGTCCCACGAGAACACCTTCAGTTCAGCAGAAATGGGCAAGGGGAAGAAGGGGACGCGGGGAAAAATTGTGACTATTCGCGAAACGGATGAAACATTGGCATGCAATGGGATCGTAGCGCCGCGAAAGAAGAGAAAGAAGGGGCAGCACCATAAGAGAGCGCAAGGAAAAGGCACGGGCGAATGCACGACGGAAAACAACGGAACGGTTCTGGGAACGGTTCTGGGAACCGCTGACCGTGACGCAAAAGACACCCCGAGTGGACCAATCAGCTTCCCACGAAAAAGGAGCAACAGAGGGCGACAACGCCCCGCGCGGGCTGATTGTCTACCTTGGTGCTGACGAAGTCCAGGCTCCCGCCATGCGCTCGGAGGTTGATGAACGTTTCGCTCGTGCTCAGCAGTCGGAGTTCGTCAGCGTCTCCTCCGGCCTCCGACCCGTATACCTGTTGAGACGGGAGCAACAGGCGTCAAAGCAATATCGACACGACGGGATCAGACAGGCATCGTCCCGTACCGGCCATCAAAGGGGTCCTGGTTGCCGCCAGACGATACGCTGCGTATGCTGGGATTGTGCGCCTACGCGACAAGTTCTATGCGACGAATGGTCAAGGCGCCAGAGGGAGTCGGGCCACAAGGAATATGCGTCGTCTTGGACCCAAAACAACATGCCGCCAAACATCAACATCTACCCTGTTCGTCAACATTGCTGATCAGTTTCGACACGAACCTTGAGCGTGATACCGTCCTCCACGTACAGCTCCTCCGTGAGAAGCCACGTGCCGGTCGCGTTGGTGCTTACGTTCCCCGAGTCAGGGTCTACCGCGTACAGCGGCCCCTTCCCGGCCCGGCTCTCCCAGATCTGCCCGAGGGTCACGCAGCCGCCGCGAGTGGTGCCGTTGTCTGCCGACTCGAGATACAGGCGGGCCGTGGTGCCGGCGTAGCGGATCGAGACCGCGATGTCGGAGTCGCAGTCGGGCTTGGGGATGGGCTCGTTGGGGGAAGGGGTGTCCGCAGCTGCCGCGGTGCTGGTGGCGGCGACAAGGCCGACCAGGGCTAAGGCTGCGCTTCGTCGGAACTCCATGTTGCGTCGGCCACGTGGACACAGCTGCTGTTTCCCAAACGTGGCGAGGAGACCACAAGGTTTTTTGTTGGCTTGAGCAGCGTTCTTTTTGTGTACAGGGAGATTCTGTTTCGCCTGTGCCGAGATAGGAGTCGTAGACAGAATGAGGTAGGCGTAGGGTAAAAGGGCGATTAGTGTTGTTGTAGCTCGTTTCGCACGCGGGGAGATGGGTGCAAGCCGTTATCGCAGCATTAGCGTAAATATTTATTCAAGTCTGACGGCGTTGCAAGCCGTGGTCGGGGCTTCAGCTGGTGGAGAACGTTAGGGAAGTCGACCAGCGACTATGTACAGCTGAATAAAAGTCTTCTCTTAAGCCCTCGCATATACGCATGGAAGGCTTTGGTGCTCTGGTCAACTGCCTTTGCATAATAAACGCTCTGATGTGCAGAGTTCTTCATGTTTCCATACGCTGAAAATACTGGTGCTCTGTGGTCGACGCCATGGTCTTTTTCTTTTTTTTTGGTCTCCCATCATTGGATGTTGTCGTCTGCCCCTCTGGCCCCTATCCTCCACTTCCACCAGCTTGACGACCCCGGGGTCACATAGGAGGGGGAGGTTGGACCCTCCCCCTGCGGTTCCTGCCTGATATATATATTTTTGCGAGAACGGTACAGCAATCCTTTCCCTCGCGACTTATGAAGTCGATCAAGTTTACTGTAATAAGCAACGAGCTTTGCAGCGCGTCGCTTCCAATGGAGACAAGGATTCAATATAGCGAGAAAAACTCACTCTGTCGGGATTCGAACCCATGACCTGGCCCTCAGCAGGCTGCGAGGCTACCCACTAGACCACCTGGGCGACCGGTGTGTAGTAGTCTAGACCACACTGGATCCACTCCGCGGCGGATGAATTACCGCAGAAACATCACTCCCATTGTCAACCAAAGGCAACGCCTACCGCCCGGCGCTGACCGTTCAAGTCCAGCTGACTGAAGCATCACAAGACCAACGATAACTGGTGGTGTACCACAGTAGTAGACTTCAGGAGCCTCTTCGACACGGGACGTTACAAGTTCAACATGCCGAGTCATGCCGCACTCANGCCATGGCTGTCTGTCTGTCTGTCTGGCTGCGCGCCCTAAATACCCAGCAGACTCGAGCCCATTTTACCATCTCGGCACCAAATTGCACACTATAACTTGCGCACAACAAGTAATATTTTGCCCGAGCTGTCCCAACCGCTTCCTTTGTATTCCGTGGTCGGTGTCCCGAGATAGCACACCGTTTGTGCAAATATATATGTC